GAATTCTGGGAGTTGAAGTCCACAAGTCTTAAAGTTGCCAAGGTTGGACACCCCTGATCTAGATCATGCCCTTCTGGGATCTGAGGTCACCTGGTGTTTTACACAACCAACTCAAAAGAGTTCTCGTTCTGCCACTTTGGGGAGCCCGTTCTCTATGCTGAAGAATCACAGTCCCCAAACTCACCACTGGAAACCATCCAGCTGACACAGTATCGAGGAAACACAGTTTGTGGGTTGTCACTGTACGTGAGCAGGTAGTCAAAGCCATTCTGAAACGAGAAACGATACGGATTACTACTCCTTGGAACGAGGAGATCCGCCGCTATCTGCACGGTGAGGTAACCTGCCCAATGTAACCCTTTTGCTACCCAAAACAAAATCAGTGGGAACGACTTGCTTCCAGAAGTCGTGAATGCTCCAACACAGAAGAGATTGTAACAACCATTTGTCTGAAGTGGTGTAGGGCTTCCTGCACTAGGCAGGGGGTTGGACTAGAAGACCTCCAAGGTCCCTTCCAACTCTGTTATTCTGTTACAGTGAAAAAATAAATTATAAAAAAAAAAGTGCTTGTTGCTGTGATAAGAAGGAAAGAATCGTGAACAATCTCTCTTGCCGTAAGTCTGAAGCAATAAAGGCTCCAGAAGTATCTGGCCTTCTTACAGTCAAACTTTGGTTATGGTTGTTCTGTTGAGTCATAACCTCGCCCTGAACATCAAAAAGACCAAAGAATTGATTATAGACTTCAGAAGATGCAAAGTGGAGCCTCTCCCGCTATATATCAATGGAGACTGTGTGGAAAAGAGTTCATAGTTTTAAATTTCTAGGAACTCATATTTCCGACAACCTTACTTGGTCGGTCCACACTATGGCCACTGCAAAGAAGGCCCAACAGCACCTGCACTTTCTGAGGCTGCTGAAAAAGAGTGGTCTGGGTGAGAAGTTGCTGGTTACTTTTTACCGGTCTACCACTGAGAGCATTTTGGCCTACTGTGTAACGGTGTGGTATGCTGGATGCTCTGTAGTGGATAAGAAGATGCTCCAGAGAGTTATAAACACAGCACAAAAAATCATCGGTTGCTCTCTTTCTTCTTTGGAAGAGATTGCGAAGACCAGACTCCTCTCTAGAGCACTAAAAATCTCCACAGACCGTTCTCATCCGGGACACTCATATTTCGAACTGTTACCCTCAGGGAGACGTTATAGGTGTCTTAAAATGAGGACTAATAGACTGAGAGACAGTTTCTTTCCCAAGGCAATAATTGTCTTGAATCAAACAATGCATACGTGATTTAGCCCTATGTATATAGTGGCATTTTTAAACTATCTAACTTGCTATATGTTTTAAATAGGTTTTAGAGTAGGTTTTTAATTATTATTTTAATTATTTTAATTTTTAAATACTCTGTAGTGTGATTGTGATGTGGTGTTTGGGATACTGTGCTGGAGTAGCTTTCAAATTTCATTGTATTTGTAGAATACAATAATAAAGCTGTTCTATTCTATTCTATTCTATTCTATTCTATTCTATTCTATTCTATTCATCCAACATTTATTCTATTCTATTATTCTATTCTATTCTATTCTATTCTATTCTAATTCTAATTCTAATTCTAATTTGGTTCGCCGGCAGCCGGTGCAGACGGCAGCGGAATCGGACAGTGGGAAAGAACGGGGACCAGTCAGGGAGTCTGGAGAGGACTCGGACGAGGGTCCTGCGTCCGATACAGAGATGGGGCCAGGACCATCGGGGAGTGGGGTGCTGACTCCGGAGCCTCCACAGTCTGGCAACAGCGAGGCAGAGGACCCAGGGGAGCCTATTCCCAGTGTGTGCGCGCGCGCAAAGCTGCTAGAAGGAGAGAGCAGCTGAGAGAAAAGGGATGACTTGGGAGTAAGGCTGGGATTGCCCCTCCCCTAAGGGATTGCCCCTCCCCTAAGGGATAAAAGTCAGGCCAAGATGACGAAACCTTTGCAGGAAGCAAAGTCGTTCGTTCGGTTGAGATTCATTCTTGAAGCTCTTTGTACTTCGGTTGGTTTCTTTTCTAGTTCATTTGATACTTCTGCTATTGGCAGCACTTCACAGGGAAGAAAGGTGGGTGCTCATCTCGAGGGACTGTTTGAGAATTCATTACCGGCTGGGAATGAAAATAATTCCCAGCGTTGCAATAAAACAAGATTTGTTTTTAAAATAAGTGTGTGCGTGATTACGGTCTAGGAAGCCTTGGTCAGAACAGTTCCCTTTCCTTAGTACACAGGATTTCTGGGGGAGACGGCTTTTATAGGGCCAGCAACCACGGCGACCAAGACCAAAGACCAAAGAAATGGTGAGTAAATCAGTTCCTTGGAGCCTCTCTGTATAAGGAGAGGACAAGAGATCCTCCAGGCAGCTGCTCCTCCTCCTCCTAAGGCTGCTGCAGAACAGTGGTTTTCTGTGGGTTCAACTTGATCACAATTGCAGCAGAGACTTTTGAAGGGCATTACATTTGCAAATCTCACTCTCTGACCCCTTTCAATCATTCTGGAGAACGTGTAGCAAGAGAGGGAACTCATTCTCAAACCAGTTTAATGTCATTTTTTACAACAATTGAAGAAAACCTAAAAATACAAAGGTATCTGGCTTAGAGAATCTTGGCCCCACCCATTTTGCATTAGAAAAAGATGATTGTGAAATTAAATGACCAATGCTGTTGCTGCCCTGACCAAATAGTCACTGGCAAGGATTACAAAGATGATATATATGTCTAATTTTGAGGCCTAAAATATAATAAAATGTGTATAATAAGTCAAAAATAACAGGGGTCAGACACACATTAACAATGGTTGCTTCAGCCTCTTAAATATTTCTGCTCCCTGTAAATTTCAGATTCCCCTTTTTAAAAAAATACAATAAAGGAACTCACCTCATCAAATGATTTGTGAGGATGGATGACCATTTGTGACTCGTAGGTTCGGACCCGGACAAATTCAGGATCTTCGGGGACGCCTGGATGTTCTACCGCTCTGAGCAAAATAAGAAAAAAAAAAAGGACATTATGCTTCCCCCCAAAACCAAACAACCATCAGTTTTAATTCTGGGACTGCAAACATGGTGCAATTCTTGTAGAGTGGGGCGTATCAAATTTTTCCAATTTTCCATTTTCCAAACATGAATGGGTGCTCAAAAGTTGTGACCTGCCTTGCGGATTTCAAAGGGTTCCTTTCATGTAATTTAGATGTGCTTAGTAAGTAACTAAGATTACTTAGTAAGTAAGATTATTTTGACAGAGATATGGGAAAATGGCCTTGAGCTTGACATGCCTGCAGTACACAATGCACATTACGCCTTATTCTGCGCCTAAAAAGCTTTCAGTGACAGGACAAAAGAAACAGAGGGAAAGGTCCAAAAAGTGTTTCAGGGATCTCAAATTGATAGGCACGTTGAAACTTGGGAGGAAAAAAGAGCACAACTGGAGTTCCCAAAAGAGCTTCACAACAACATTGGCACTCGTTTCTCCTTCATCCTTCCAGCATTTGCCCGAGAACCTTTCCAGAAGGTTTTAGAAACCCAAATCTTAGCAGGCGGCTGGACGGATGGATTGGTCCTTTTGACATGCAACGAAGGCGCCTCCTTACCGTGATACCAGCACCATCAGGTTGTTCTCTTGGTCCACATCATACCGCCGAACATAAACGTAATCCCGCGAATACATTGGATACTGGAAAGGGATGTAGGGGTGGAGGAAGAAGAAAAGAGCAGTGTTGTGATGACCCAAAGGGGCGTGGCACAAAAGCAACAAAGTCACAAAAGTAGGTAAAGTCCCTTTAATTCCTCCAACTTGGCCCCCAGTGTCCAGTTATCATCGGCTGGAGAAAAAACTCTACCAAGAACAGTTTTTAAAGGAAAGAAATTCAGTCCAACCCCAAAGTACATACTGTATAAATTAGAAATAAAAACCAACACAAACCACACTGCAGCAATTAACGAGATAGGGCAGGATAAGGAATGGCAGAACTCAAAAGATAACGAAACACACAGAGTTGGGAGGACACCGGAACCCAGATAAAGCGTGACAAACCAAAATAATTTATGCTTTGCTTCCAGCAAGGTGCTGTGCGCAAACACCCTTTTTAAATCCTGTTTTCCCAGCTGCAGCTAATGGAGGGAATCAGGGCCCTTTTCTCCCCTGTAAACCATGTTGCTCCCTTATCTGTTCCTCCCTGTGTGCCCTAGGATGAAGAGGGGGTGGGCCTGGGTCTTCCTCTGAATGCCCAGCTGGACTGTGTCCTTTCCTTCCCCAGTTTCCTCCACAGCCAACAGAGCCACACTCCCACTCCGTCAGCTGCTCGACCTCCCCCTCGGAATCAGATTCTAAGAGGGGCATGACAAGTGTCATTAGACTGGGTGGCTTGTGACAATGCACCTGGCTAGCAGCACTGGGCAAAGGAAGGAGGCCTTACCGGAAAGTGAGTTACCCAGTGCACTACCTCCGAGCCCGTATCCCGGTCTCTCTCAATCACTTCCAGTTTGATCACGAGGGAGTCCCATTTCTTCCGATATTCCGTATCCAGCTAGAAGAGAAGAAGCCACGCATTCTCAAGTCAGCTAACCTAAGCTTTCAGTTTGCTGACGCAATTCCCCAAAAACAGACTACGAAGCCAACATCGAAAATCCTGAGGTTTCCTGATTGGTTACCATCTCGAACTAAAAGTTCCTCTCTCCCCCGAGAAGGTGGAAATAAATCCTTCATGTTCGGGGGGTTTTCGGAGATTAACTTGTCAGGCTTTCGTTTCCCTCAAAAGGGTAAGCAAGTGAGAAGATCAGAATTCAGGGAAGAGTAGAGAAAAACAAATTAAACTCTTTTAAACCCAGAACCCGTTCTGCAGAAAATGCAGAACAGGTATAGAACAGAACGTAAAATGTAAATGATGCGTGTGTGTGTGTATGTAGATATGTATGTATGTAAATGAAAATGGAAAAGTCTATGCCATAACTTACTGCAAAAATTGCATATAAGATTTGTTTTTAAAAGTGTAAAAATTTAATTAAATTTTCTAAAAAAAAAAAAAAAAAAGAACAGAACGTCTGAAGGGATAAAAAAAAATAAGGTAGGAGGATGAAGAAGAAATCATAACAGGAGATATTTTGGAAAGCCAGAAAGAAGCGTTGTGGGCCAAAGCTCCTCCCCTTAATAGCATGTGTGTTTATTGACAGTTAGTTGGTCATCGGACTATCAGCTTGACCAAGGTAAGCAAATTTTTAAAAAGTATTTTTTTAAAATTATTTTTAAAAAGAAAGGAAGTGAGGAAAAAGACATACATTACTCATTTCATTGGAGGATTGGCAAATTAGGGGAAAATGCATCCCAATTGAATGCTATTTTTCAATAAAAACAAGGAAGCATCTTGGTGACAGTTATGGAAAACCAGCTCAGTGCATTGGATAGGTAGGTATATAAAGTACAGTAGTTAACAGAAAAAAATAAATGGTAGCAAAGGAAAGTGAGCATTTAAGACTTGTTTCTAGCTGCAGTAAACTATATTCCAAAGCTGTTGAGCTTGCCACCAAATATAGTAAAACATTTCACCTTAATTTTTCAATTTTTGAACATGCATTACCCATTTTAACAACCAGCACTGGAGAAATGTACTAGCAGAATATCTTACAGTTATTTTGTCTTGCTTTATTTGCCCTATTTTGAACTATTTGGCTATGCTTCTGAGAGGGCCCTCACATCCCTCCTACAGTAAGAACAGGACAAGCAGAACGTAGGCTGGCTTAAAGACTTAATAAGCAGGAGGTACAACCAATGAGAAACAGGAAGGGGCGTGGGAGAACTCACCTGCACATTGAAAAACTGTCTTGGTGTCACATCTGTGTATGTTCCAAAGACTAAAATAGAAAGACAAATCTCAGAGTGGGCAGTAAAGCAAATGCAGGTCTTGGTTAAGACTACAAATCGTAGGTGGTGGGCTCCAAAGCACCCGAACGCACCTTGCTTGTTATGGACCAGTCTCAAGTTTTTAAAGATCAGTTTAATTTAAAACATAAACAGTAAACAGTGAAGAAGAGCATCTTCCGCTCGTACCATCTTTTGTTTCCTTATTTATTTCAATTACAATAGTTCTGGCCCTCAGATAGGATGCATTCTTAAGTGAATAAAAATGGAGCCGTGGCTGAAGTTCAATGCTCCTGGCTGTCAAAAGACAATGATAAACTGGGAAGCGGCTCTTAGAAGGAATATGGGAGATGGAGAGGCGGGGGGGTGGGGAATCTCATCAGTTAAGGTCTTTGTCTAAAAGCCGCAGCCTGCACTGCTGGAGCTGTGGCCCTGGAGAAGTGGCACAATCACATCTTTTGCTTCATAATCACTTTGCTCAGTGATGGGAATTCTGGTCCCAAATAGGAGCGTAACCTCAGGGCTCCCTACACAAACTTGTAAGCGATAAAAATTGGCCCAACTACGGAGAGCCACTGGAAAACGTTAGGACCGACTTAGAAATCCCTGAATCTGGATTTTTTAAGATTCCCTCGGCCCTTATTAAGCCTTGAACGTGGCTTTACAAGCTTTACTTTCCGGTCAATCATTATTAGTGGTTAATTCAATTTAAATGTTGCCCATCTCGCTATCCAGAGCGAATTAAGCAGCCCAACTTGGCCAGACAGACTTGTGATCTGTGTACTAAGACAAGAGTGAATTCATGAAAGGGGAGGGGGTGAGGCTACCTCGATACTGGTACATATGACCCCCGCCGACCGGACGCCTCCATAGTTTGAAGTGCTTCTTGCTGACCACCATTTCCCAACTCTGCTCTTCAGGATCAGACGAGACCCCTTGGCAGGTGCTTTCCTCCAGCTCCTGCATCTCGTCGTCTTCCGTGTTGCTTGGGAAGAACTTCGATATTTCTTGCATGTGTTTCATTTCTTGCACAGACCTTGGGAGGACAATGTTGAAACGTGTCAGCTTATTCTGGTCAGATAGATTAGATAGATAGATAGATAGATAGATAGATAGATAGATAGATAGATAG